TAAGCAGATAAAATTGGGGAAATAAAACACAATCCAAACAAACCCGTAATGCTAGAAAAGGCAAAAATAACAAAATTATAGCCAAAACTGTCCTGAGTTTACATTAAATATGGTGGGTCTGTAAGATTAGATGTTTTTTGAAATTGTTTTTCAGAAACTTCACTATAACATTTTATTGTATGCGAAAAAAATTCATTGTACATGTATTTTTGGGTGCTTTTAAAATTTAAAATTTTGTTGGGGTAATTTAAAAAATTTGTTAAGTGCCCCTATATCACCTCTTACCACCACCGTACACATATTTTTGGGTGCTTTGCTTTCTTTTAAAACTGTACTACTCATCACCTCCTACCATCATAATCACTGTCCCTCCTTTCTCCTCTATCTCCCCCTCCCTAGCATCCAATTTGATCGTTGGAGACTAGCGGGAAGGGAGGGGATGCAGGAGAAGGGCAGAGAGGGGCGAGAGTTGGAGGCGATGGTAGACAGTGGTGGGCGAAAAAAGAAAGAAGTGATAAGAATTATTTTATTTTATATATTTTTTCTTAGATGTATTTAATATTATGTGGATTATGTATTTTTGGAGTATGTTCTTTAACAAAATTGTCCACATAAGGATTGCACGATATAATTGACAAAACACCAATGCTTGGTATACAAGATTCTTCTTATGCCATCCATAATTAATTTGGAAGGAATTTGTAATACTGGATGCTTATGTAAAGGCTGAATCGAAATACGCAGAATAAAGAAGTGCATAGGAAATGTATTAGGCATTTTAAAATTAACTAAATTGATACAGAATCTATTTTTTTTAAAAAAAAAAAACTTACATGTTGACGAAGAAAATGTTTCTCCTACAAGTGATCCAAAAAAAAAAAAAATCCTTAAAGCTTTTTCAAAATGACTCTTTTGGAACTTAAACTGTTAAACGTAACATAAGATGAAAAGGGCAAAAATCATGAACCTGTACGTGCCGCGTGTATAATCCAAAACGCGTATTAGTATAGTATACTCCAAAGGGACAGCTTTAGAAACCTTCTTTGAGTTTTATTATTTCACCTAGCACCCTCATTATCTTGAATATTGCACTTACCTCCCTTATTACTACAAAAATCACACTAGCCCGCACATCAAAATTCAACTCAAATATAAGAGGACCTAACAAACTTAAAAATAAAAAGGAAATGAAATAAAAGTCACCTTCTCTCTAAGCTTCTCTCTCTCTCTCTCTCTCTCTGCTGTTTTTTTTTTTTTAAAGTTCTCTCTCTATTGTTCTTGTCTTGTTATAGTTATCATTGATGTAGTTTGTACTCATCTACGTCATTATTTAATTTTTTTCTAATCAATAAAAAGTTAGTTCTTGCTCAAGAAAAGAAAAAGATTTACGTCAGCACTATACTTATTTATTTATTATGGTTTGTTCTTTGTTGTTTTCTTTTCTTGTTTTGCTTTGTTGCTGATAGATTGTGATTATTGTGATAGTAAATGAGATTATGCCACATAGTGGTGTTGTGGTGATACTAGTTCTAACACTTGAAAAGAAAGGTATCATAGTTGTTTCTTTTTTCTTCACTTTTTTTTAACAAAAGGGTAGTTTTGAATTTTCATTCAAAATTTATGCTATTTATAAGCTTTTATTTCACAAACAACAAAAGTAGGGGAGATAAGTGTAATGTTCAAAACAAGAGAAGTATTAGCTGAAATTATCATACACTTCATGGGAGGCAGTGGTAGGGCTAGGATATTATTCCAACGGGGGCACAATATAAAATGAAAATATTTTAGTTCTACAATTAGAATTAGACAAGAAGATCCACATGCAAAGTAATAGCAAGGAGAACCATGGATATTCACTAAATAACAAAAGATGAAAGCACTAACTTTCACGTATTGGAAATCTCGGCAGTGAGCTAAACTCTTACTAATAGAATTGGATTTGTAATTTTAGATCGTCAAACTAATGGATTGTGATTTTGGCTTTATTATTCTACAAAGAGTTACCATACATACACATATACACTTTTGGGGCCAAAAGAAAGCTTTAAAAATATCTACTACTCAAAATTAATTTTTTTCCCTCAATAGGGGCCCATATATAAATTTCTAGAGTCAAAACATTTTTTTTTTGGTGAAATTTCTATACCAAAATTTTTTTTGTTTGGATAGTGTATTATTTGAAATATTATTTGGAATAATTACTGTAGCACTTTTTGTGATATGATGTATGTGAGATAAAAAGGTGATTGGGAATATAAAAAGGTAGGTTGGGAAATGTGTTTGTGATGTAAGCGAAATATTATTTGGAATAATTTTGATATCCAAACACTTTCGGCTAGGGGAGACACGTGCCCCTACGCACTATCCCTACTCTGAAACTATTTAACCCATTGTGTAGATATCCTTCATTTGGATGGCACGGATTAGACTTTTGACGAAAGTTTTTTTGGTTTGCCAGCCTTGTTTGGAAGTCAAGTTTTTTGTCAAGTTTGTCTACTATAAATTTTTTAAAAAACTTTAATTACAGTAATTTTAAAAAAATTTTCAAAATTTTTAAACTATAAATTTCAAAATATTTAAAAAAAAACACACTTCAAAAAGTTTTTTAAAAACTTCTACAGTAAGTTACAGTAAAGTTTTAGACAAATACAAAAAAAACTCACCTTTCAAACGGAAAATTTTATACAAAGCCATTTACAAGAAACCAATCCATAAGAGAATAAGTGTATTTTCAAAGGGAGGGAGGAGTGAGCTGAGTGATCTTGAGATAAATTCAAAAGTTATGATGAAAAATCAAAATCATTCCACAAAAAGGATTGTTTTGGACTTTTAGTGTCCTGTACCAACAAGGAAAGCGTTCACATTCTCTGAATGTGATGTCTCCTTAGATTCCTGAGTTCACATTTTACGGATGCGAGCTCAGGAGTGTTTAATTTAGTGAGAATTAGTTGGTAAATGTGAACTCGAAAGGATAATAGAGTTGGGAATTCTGCAAATGCAATTTGAAGCTCTCCAACTGCATGGTTCCTAATTATCGGGTTTGTAGCTGGACTCGCAGCTTTTGTTTTGCAGAATTCATATTGTACTCCATTTCATGTCCAAGGTTATTATTTGATTTGTATTAACATCAAACTTGTTAGAAAATTAGCTTAATTTCTTTTAAACAGGTTTTTGATTTTATGTGAAAATAATTAGTTTTCTAATTGGTTTAGTTATTTGAAATAGTCTAAGTTCTTTCCTATTCTGCATAAGTCTACAAATTAGAACTAGTTTCCTATATTATTTGGATTTTGCCCAAATAATACTCTCTATAAATAGGTAAGTTAGTATACTATGCAAGAGGCACATAAGAGGCATAAAAGGTGACATGTAAACTTATACATGGAGTGTGTGAGAAGGTTCTTGAGAGATAAGAAATGGTATATAATAGTTGAATTTGGATTCAAGTTGTATTATTGTATAGAATTTTTTTCTAACAATAAAAAACGGTAATGTGGTGAAACCGAACCACATTAAATATTGTATGTTATTTATTTTTCTTGCTTGTAACTTGTTCATCATTAAATTATTGTGTTCTTGATATCTCAATAATTGTGTGTTATGTGCTTATATCATAACAAGGCTACAAGGCATGTATCAACAACTTATACTTTATTGACATCTATTTATTTAGAAATCCTCTAATAAAGTAAAACTCAAATTTGCTCATTTCTTTCGCTGTCGAAGAATAAATAAGAAAATTTGCAATTTGATAAATCAATGAACCATTTGATAAACAAAAGAAAAATTGTAATTTACTTTCAACTGACTTTTTATACATTACGATGCAACTATTCAATAGTTTTTATTTTTTTTCACTTTTCTCAATTGTTTTGGAAAATGAATTAAAAAGATACAGAAACAAGCAATCACAATGTTTTTATGAAAAATAAAATAATAAAAAAGAAAGCAAGAGAGTTCGCATCTAAGATTTTCATTTTTGCCTTGTTTTGATTTAAGAATTTTCATCTTCAAAATCAATCTACCGGATATTCATCCGGCCATCTTAATAACACTACTAATTGGATGGGTCACGAGTGACCTCAGCTAGTGATCGCGCTGAATTGCGTAATAATTCCATCAATCGCAGGTCCACCAACAAGTGGAGATGGTTAATAGGCAACTTGATTTCTCTAGGAGATTGTAAACATATATTGTTGAGGTTGTTATACACCGACCGTGCTGGATGAATGATAATTATGAAAAATTTAAATTTAAAATTTAACTTTTACATATATGCTGTAAATTAAACGATAATAGTGTATATATTATTAATATATATAAGATTTACTTTTATTATATGTAATAATATTTATAAATTTGTGTGTACGAGTAAAATATATCCAAACAACAAAGCTCTAAGTATACTTCTAAATTATTCAAAACATGCAATAATTATACTACCGCACAAATATCATAAACTTAAGGGTAAATCACATATAATTTCCCTATAGTTTCGTCTATTATCACATAATCCTTTTAATGTTTCAAAATGTCCACTTCACCCTCCTATGATTTTATGTAAAGTAAAAATTTGATAAGAAATAACTCATATAATATTATTAGTTGAAATAATCAATAGTGCTCTTATTTAAATGCTAAATCAATCGATGACTTAGCTATCTTATATCAAAGTGTAAGAGATTAGTGGATAAATGCAAAATTACGGGGGAGTAAATTGAATACTTATACAAAACATAAGGAGGTTACATGTGCTTTTAGAGCGCATTTAGTATATACACCGTAAATGATTATGTATTCCGTTCATTTTTCATTTTACATAAAATCATAGGGGGATTATGTGGCTATTTTGAAAGTTTAGCGGGTCATCTGATATTATATAAAATTACAGGGGGTTATAAGTAGTTTACCGTAAAGTTAACTGCCGCAAAGCTATTCATTTAGTTTGTCATTTGATCACACAAGTCATGGACATTTGGTTGACTTGAATTGTGTTGCAGTTCCCAAGAAGCAGGCTGTTAGGCAGACAGCAGCACCGGCCTATATATAGTACACCTTAGAGACATGGGAGTTTCTCACATACAATTCAATTGAAATAAAAGAGAGTAGGGTAACGAACAACAACAAATATGCAGGCAGGCAATTTGAAGCCAAGAATTCCTCGGGGGGTAACAGAGAGACATCGAAGACAGCAAATGAAGAATTTGTACTCAAAACTTGCTTCCCTTCTCCTTCCTCCAGCCTCCGAGGTAAATCCTTACTCAATCATCCTATTAATTCGATTTTCTTGAGGTTCGTGAAGACGAAGCATTAAGGTGTTTTAGGATGCATCTACTGTCAAATGCAGGTGAATTTACCATTACCTGCTTTATTGGACTATTCACTCACTCACGTGAAGAACCTTAAAGAAAGGATCCAAGAGCTCGAAGCAAAGAAGGAGAAGTTCAAAGGTCAGATTGGTAGTTCAACAGCAGATTTTGTGCTGCAAGCAGTGAAAATAATTGAAAAGGGTCCAATTCTAGAGGTGAATTTAGAAACCGGCCTGCACAAGCGCTTCATACTGCCTGAAGTCATCAGCATCCTCGAAGCAGGAGGTGCTCAAGTACTAAGTGCCAGCTATGCAACGTTGACCGACAGGGTCTTATATACCATTTCTTCTGAGGTTCGTCTCTTTTGGCTCTCTTGTGTGCGTGCGTGCGTGTTTTGCAGCATGTCTGGTGCTATATTACACGATCAGTTCGGCTGCCGACCAAATCAGCACAGCGACATTAATAGTCAGCTAGTAGAAAAGGCCTGGCGGGGATTTTTTTGGTTTCTCATGTAGTTTAAACTTTAAAGAGGAGGGGGGGGGGGGAACTAAATAGGAGATGGTTGTATTTATTAAACTCTCCAGAATGAATGGCGAATTCCTAAACGTCGTCACATACTCCTTTATCTTACAAAAAAAAATGAAGTGATTTACTCTCCAACATCTCAAGTAATCTTCTTGATCGTGATCCTCCACCTCGTCTTGTACCTTTAACTAAAGTGCAAGACTATAACCACACAATAGTGTAAACAAAACGAAAATTAAATTGCTTGACTTCAAGCATAAAAGATTACAGCCGAAATGACGAGACTATATTAGGGGACTACATATTGTTTGAGAAAAAAATTGCCGAGGATTTCTCAACCAGAAAGCCCCTAGAAATCATGCAACATGGTCGATATGTGCTGCTGAAATAAGTAGCGCACACAAGTCGCATTCGGGTACATTCAACACTCATATATGACTGTTGATTTTGCAGGCATCCTCTCCGAGAATTGGAATAGAGACTTCAAGACTGCATGAGAGGTTGAAAGCACTGGCTGGTACAGGATGTTTCTTCTGCAGCCTTTGAAGGGAACTAAGCCTGGGGCGATATGAGTGACGATATAATAAATTTAAGAGGCCATCTTGGCTAGCAGTACTGCATATATATTTTCGCTTATACATATGTACTAGATAGCTTCTTTCTCTACTTTTTCTCTTTTATCAAAGTACGCTTCTGTCAGAATCTCCACCGATCGCCTGTACATATTTTTAACGGAATTGTTCTGTGGTACTGATCAGGTAAAAAATAAGAGTTCTCTTTCTGTCATGATACTCAGTGTCAATCTCAAATCTTTTAAATTTGTAAGCAAGGAAGGGAGCATAATTAGACGTTTAACCGATCGAGCCATCTTCCTAATTAAGTTTTCATGATAGCAACTGACGATTGCTTACTTGCAAGAACCTTTCCCATCGGAAATAGAGGTCGAGGGACCACGCTAGCTCCTTTCTATTACATATATAATGGAAAGAGATCCGGTCTTTTCTTTACACCTCAATAAAATTAATGCAGAAATTATTTTAAAAAATTAACACTATTCATAATATTAATTTCATCACATACGTGTACTATTAGTTATACATATAAATTTGTACGAAATTGATTAAAGTTTTGCCATCTGATTAATTATTATAATTTTTGTTACAATTCTGACCCTTTTTTGGCGTTCAAGTATTTCGTATAAATCGAATGCCAAAATATTTTCAAAAGAATATCATTTTTAGTATATTAATTTAGAGATCAAAAGAAAATAACTAGATGATTTTATATCATTCTAGTCATTTAGGTATAAAGAAATGAAGCTATCGATAGAGATAGATCCCGTGAAGGGGATCCCAACCCAAGCCGAGAGCCGGACGCATGATATCTGCTTTCATAGAAAACAAAAAACGAGTGGAGCTCATTTTTGCAACATTTAGTCGCACCTGTAATTAGTAAAGATTTCCTAAAATATGATTTGATAAGGTTTGGTAACTATCAGTATGATCAGGTACAAATTTGGAATCAAAGTTTGAATCCATAATCAAATTTTGATCTAAACTTATTTTTAACTCGTGACACACAGCATCTCCAGGTACTTTAGTTTAGCCCTTCGCATAGCTCATTATATGTACTAGTATAATGATGAAACAATCTATTTTTCTGAAGTACATGGATATAGATCTGATTGATATTACTTTTTTTTTTTTTCCTCCCCTGAAACGGTAGAAAATTTTAGATTGATATTATGATTGGCTTTGGAAAATGATGAAATTAGAGGAGATCTGCGGGCATATCATGTCTGGTCTGGGGGCCTGTCGTCAATCAACTCTTTGGAGCAACAGGCTACCGATTTGCCCGGTAAATCCTCATTTCCTTGTGCTTAGGTGAATTGTCTTCTGGATGTCCCCTCACTTGTTAGGAGATCCTCACTTCTTTGTTAAAACGTTAGAAGTTTCTTGAGTTCCATTTGCTTACGGATTTTCTGGTGGTGTATACTGCCAAGTCTGAGTCAGTTGGCGAGTGTATATATATACTATTACAGGAAAGAGGGAAGGTATTAGTTCAAAGACGAAAAGAAAGTGTCCACGAACAACAAAAGGGTATGAACACAACAATGCCGCCCGTTTAACAGAGAACGAACCTTGGAACAAAAAAGGCAAAGACGATAAAAGACACCGGACCGGAAAGGGATGCGGCTGCGCCGAAAGGCGGGCAAGTTTCTGAGCAGTATTTCTAATTTAACGCGTGCACGAAACGCCTCAAGACCCAACATACGGCCTGCTTTGCTTGGACGAGGAGAATTCGAGGTTGACTTGACATGCCAAGTTTTAATTTAAACAACAGTCATATCCTAATTTCCAAAAAAAGAAAAAAAAAACACAAAAACAAAAAAAGGGTAAAGGAAGGCTCTTTACTTTTCCATCCCTATAGTAGTGAGACATTTCGTTAACTTGGTGCTTTAATAATGTAGTAACCATAACTAGGAGAACAAAACTCCCAAACGAAGAATTACGTACTTTTGCTGAAAATGATAGGGCTTTTTGTTCAAAGGTAGTAGTAGACACCCGTTAGTATATTTGAACCAAATCCAACCTATCATCAATGTACATACGTACTAATAGTTATTGTTTTACCATATGTCTACACATTTTTTTTTTTGCTTAATTAATTTTACATTTTTAAAAATTAACATATGAATTTCATACGAGACAGTCATTATATTAAATACTCTTCTTGTAGGCTTTTTGTAACCTTAACTCCCCGAAATTTCACCCAGTCTACTATATATATATATATATATATATACATACATCATACCACATGGCATCCTTCATAATACACCACTAGTATCATATTATTAATCACAAACTAAACTAGCCTCAATTACTTATAGTAAAGTAATGGTATAGTATTCTTATTGGTATTTAGACGAACGTAAGATGAATTTGTTCACTTGTCCGAGTTTGAATAGCAGCCGATGTTGCAGTTTTAGTATATGTTAAAAATCGTAGGAATTGGTGTAACAATCGATCCGTAAAACGTGTTACATATATTTTTTGGTGCATCGTTTTGTTATACACCCATAATTGGTCAATGATGCATTTGGGACAACCGTTTAATTCCTACCTCGCCAAATCCGACAGCCACTAATCTGGTCCGTTGATTTAGCTAGCCCAACACGCCGCAATGCCCTGGCTTTCGTTTCAAAATCAAACATTAGAAATTAATGTTCCTAACGCACGCGGGTCGTGGGATGCCTGGCAGGGACTAATGAGACATAGAGTACAATTGTAGCACTTGGGATCCTCGGTGACATGTTTTTTTATACCAATCCAATGTCACCTATAGTATTACGCCAAGTGTCCTGTTATTATTTATACTTTAATTTTCTAATAATTCAACTTGATTTGGTTTAACACAAGTGTAAATAATAACAGGACACTTGGCACAATATTATAGGTGGCATTGGGTTGGCATAGAAAACATGTCACCGAGAATCCCAAGTGCAATTGTAGTACTATAATTTAAGAAAATCTGCAGGGCATGCGCCGGGCTAATTAACCAAACAGAAAAAATTATTATTCCCTTCTCCGTTCCACTTTGATAGTTAATTCTATTTTTTTTTTCCACATTAGTCGTCTTGAAGTCTCCAAATTCCACATTAGTCTTAATACTCGTGATTCACACCATACGTTCCTACACCCCGCTCCTCCCAAGTCGGCAGTGAGGCGTCATCTTTTTTTCCTCTTTTTAAACGTAAGGTCATTTCTTTCTTTCTTTTCTTAGTAAGGAATATTCTTGACTTTTTTTTCCCCACGTTATTTTAATTGATTTGATGATTAATCAGTCTTTTTTTTTAATCTCTTTGTTCATTTGCTCCTTCTGTATATAAATTTCTAATTGTCCAAAAAGCTAAAATACAAGATTAATTAAAGAGTAGCTTTAATTCCTGTGATTAAACTCTAGCTATAATCACTTTCTTAATCAATTTTTATAAAAATCGGCTGCGCAAAGAAGAACGAAGTTGAGTGCCTGTAGTTATTTCTGCTAAATTATCCTTCTTTTACGAAAAGTAGAGAGACCCAGGCTATGCAATCAAGACGCACGAGTGAAATTTGAAAAAGGAGCCGTATATACTTGATTTTTCTAGTCTAGATATCTCTATATGTGTGTGTGTGTTGAACTGCGGTTTGGATTGATGTTTGAACTAGACTAAAAAGTGATTCTTCTTTTGACTCACAGCCTAAGCGACTCAAAGGCTAAAATGGGTGGGTGCATGTTTTTTGTGTCAATATTTTCAAAATTGTAATACCCAAACTTAAAAAAACAAGATTATAGGGGCATGTAAAGGCAAATATTGAAAGCTTCAAATGAAGCTTTAGAACCCTAATGGGAGGATTAGAAACAAACCTTGCCATGATAACACGCTTAACTTCAAATCAAAATGGTGACCGTAATAATAGAACAAATGGATTTTAGTACTATATTAAAAACACGTAAATGATTTTGTTTCGGATAAAATATATAGGGCTGAATTCACAATTATGTAATCAACACAAAAAACTTACAACTCAAAAATACTATTAATCCACACTTAGTGGTGGCACGACTACTAGCACAAGAATGAACTTTCACTTTGTACAAAGATTTACTAACTTTCCTGCTCAATGAGTCCTTTTGGCATGCATAATGATAAAAGGTAGAACACGCGTTCTGTCGAATACTTTTTGTCATCATCACGGATGGCTGATTTTTTCAATAGCCACGAACCATCTAATCTAATTGCTCTAAGAATGAGAGAGAACTTCACTGTCAACGTCCTCAATATTGTGCGGGTGTTTCCAACTTGGTTGGCTTGCAGTTTCTTGAGTGTTCTCCAAAAATGTTATGCACACTAGAGGCGGACTCTTTTATACATCGAATAACGGTGCTTCCTCCTATATAAACATACAATTCATTATCCAACTTCAATTCTTCTCCAGTACTAAAACTAATTAGCTCTGTTTTGAGTGATTAGCAATCATGCAGGCCCCAGTCACAAGTAACCCAAACAAGAAAAAGAAAAGGCACTGCACTGTCAAAGGACTAAAGATGCAGCCTGAAGGTGTCTCATGCAAAATCGGTCGGAGAGTGAAGGAGAAGCTTCGAAGGCTGCACTTCAAGAATCTCTACTCGCGACTTGCTTCTCTCCTCCCACCTCTTGCCTCCCAGGTCTGCATTTCAGTCAAAAGATTTTTTTTTTTTTTTTTTAAATTTGAACTTACTGCGAGTTCATAGTAATGTAAACAATTGGCGAAATAAAATTCCAGTTTTCGAGTCTTTTAATTTGAGTATCTTAAGAAGCAGATTGTGACAAGCTGTATCCTAATTGATAAATCCTAAAGTAGAAAAAAAAAACCACCTGCCAAGTCGTTTTTCTCTGGTTAATCTGATAGAATTCTTGGCAAAATCAGCTTAATTATTTCACTTAATTGATCTTTGTGTGACTACAGGCATTTTGAGGTGTTGTGTTTACTATTAAATGTTGCAGGAGAAATTGACTTTACCTGCTCTAGTGGAGCAATCTTTTGTTTATCTGAAAGATCTTAAGAAAAGGATAGATGAGCTGAACGCAAAAAAGGAAGAGCTGAAAGAAGATTTGGTGCTACCAGCCATTGAGATGAGTGAAAAGGGTCCAATTCTTGAAGTGAATTTGGTTACCAGCTTGAAGAAGGGCTTCACGTTGCATGAAGTCATCAGCATTCTTGAGGAAGAAGGTGCTCAAGTACTGAGCGCAAACTATTCAACTTCGAAAAACAGGATCTTCTATACAATTTCTTCCCAGGTTGATCTCCGTTGTCTCTCGTGTTTCTGTTTCTTTTCCGGTGGTAGCGTGGGTTGGAAAATGGAATCAAAAAGGAAGGCGCTTAGTAACGTAGCATTATTATCATAAACCCTTTTACTTTGTGACATTAATTATTTAGGTAATTTAATGTGTGTGTGTGTGTGTGTATATACACACACACATATATATAGGGTCGCATCATTCTCCACCTCATAGTCCGCTAATCACATTATCTTTTGAGATTACATAGCTTCTAAGCTGAAGGTCAAGATGGGAAGCCGAAATTCTAGGGTTTTGACCTTATACAGGCAGCTAAATGAGGTTTCTGCCAGCGTATTCGTAGAGTAAAACCCAACTATTTTTCTGGGGAATATTGATATGATAAAACTAAGAAGTTTTAAATATCAAATGTTTATATCCCAGGTTAAAGTGACTAAAACAAGATCGTTAAATTATTCAAACGACTCCTTTTAGAAAATTGTGCAGAAAAAAGTTAATACAATATTAGCAACAGCTACTGCATATACAATTATCAGCTGTAAAACAGCCATGATCCATGAGACAAGGTTAAGAGAAGCACTTCGCTGATAGTTATTTCTTGCTTGAAGGCATACTCTTCAAGAATCGGTATAGAGACTTCAAGAGTGTACCAGAGGTTGAAGACACTATCAGCTGCAGGATTTGCTCCTCCAGCCCTAGGGGGAACTCTGTGTCCACTGCAATTTGAAGGATGAGGATATGAATCAGTGGATCAAACTGATCACTATTACGAGCACTGCATGTTGTCTCTTAAATGCTAGGGAAATGTTATTTGGATTTTCATTTTTGTTAATCACATTTCAATTGTGATTTTAATCATATAGTTTTTATTTATTAGACTATATAATAAAATAAATGATAAAAGTGTAAGCAACAAAAAATGGAGTGCAAAATGTTAGTTTCCATGCATCTTGTTTCCCACTCCATGTGAAACTATGTATGGTGTTTGTATGTAATTTGCAAAATAATGTTATGCGTATTATTAATAAATTAATTTTCTATACATGATAGTGTATATACTATCATCCTTCTATGTTTGACAATTAATATAAATTTAAATTTTGTATATGTGATATGGATCTAACCTATATATTGCTTGATTCTATACAAGCTTAACTCATTATTGATTACCTAAAGATGCATTTTCTTTCTCCTTATCTTAACTTTCTACTACTTCATTTTACTGGAAAGCAAGAAAAGGAAATTCATCTCTGAACCAGGCACATTTAACAGGAGGGCCGGGATTCAGAATCTAGATCACAGCCATAGATAAAATTCTCCAGTCTCGTACATTTTTAAATCACTCGTAAAAGCATGGCGGACAGTAGGTTCGCCCGGTTTGTCCCCAAGCATCAAGTTAATGGATCACAAGTACTCCTGTACTTTCTAAGTTATTGATCGAATATATTTCACCACTTAAAAAAGCAAAAAGTTAGCAATACCATACGAGTTTATCTAGGGGACTGTTTGTTGTTTGTCTTGGGGGAACAGGAGGGAAAGGAAATGAAGGGATAACATTTTTTATATTTGAATTGGTTTTTGAGGAGGGGAAGGAAAAAATTAGGAGGAAAGAGGGAGATAAAATTTAGTAATTTTTTTTTTTTGCCAACTTGGTTTTTGTCTAAAAGTGGATGAAAATGGAGGGAAAGGACACCAAGATCAATGAAAATTTTAAAATTTTCTAAAACACCTATCATGTGTTTATAAATTAGATTTAAATTATGGATAAATATATAAGTGACGCATGATAGTTTTATTTCTTTCCTTCAATAATCCAAACAAGGTACGTGGACTTAAGTTTCCTCCACTCTTCTTCCTTTTTTGTTCAACTAAAATCCTCTTCTTTCCTTTCATTCCTTTTCCTTCAATCCAAATGGTACCTTGGTAAATTTAGTGACAATTGAATCTTTATTATCATATCATAGAAAATTATTAGATAGACTTAATCAAATCTATACAGACAAACATTGCTAGAGATGGCAACGTGGTGGGTTTGGGGTAGGAGGTCCCTCCCCCGTCCCCTACCCTATTGCCAAAAATCTCCCCCCGTCTAGCTCCTTCCTTGGAGGTGCTCATGGGAAAAGAAATCAAATTTGATGCATAATAAAATTTGCTGCAATTTTCCTCATTATTTTACAACAAGAATTAAGAAATCAAAAGCAGTATGCACTTTACATAGAATTGAAGATGGAGCAAAAAAGCTACCATTCAGCAGCTACGAAAACTTTACTTTGAAATACAGGAAATTTTTTTTACTATAATCAGGTTTGTTACCTTGAGGTCGCAACCTCAATTCAACCCTCACAAATCATTTCTTGGATATCAACCAAAGAACAAAAGAGAAAATATGGTAGGAACCTAGTAATTTCCTAATTGATGAAGGGATCAGCAAAATAAATAATTGAAACATTACAAGTAACACATTTTTAAGCATATTTTTTTATTTAATTTATTTACGCGGGGATGGGAAAGGGTAATGTTCCCCGTCCCTATCCTGTTTTATGGCGGAGGAAGAAAATTCCCCCCGCCCCCACTTCCCCCAAACCCCGCCCTATTCTTTCCTCATAGGACGGGTATCCGCAAGTACTTACCTCCGTTATCATCCCTAAATATTACCCACGCATTAACGTTGGATTTAAAGCTGGCGGTACTCTGACTTTGCTGATTTGAAACATAAGGATTACATACCATATTGGTTTGAGAGATATAGAAATAAATCTTTTCTCGCTTTTTTTTTTTTTTCTGTGCTAAATTGGAATAGATTATTTCATTTGTGAAAAAATGTACGTGCAAAGTTCTTTGATGACACAATTCTTGTATGATTATGTGAAGAAGCTAAAAGAAAGGATTGAAGATCTTAAAGCAAGGAAGGAGAAAACTAAAGTTGAAAGTGATCGAAGTAGTGAAACGGTAGGCTTCGTTTTGCTATTGGTTGTAGTAGATAAAACGGGTCGAACGCTGGAGGTGAATTTAATGACGGGCTTGAACAACAGGTTGATGCTGCATCAAATCTTCAGCATTCCTGAAGAAAAAGGTGCTCAAGTATTAACGGAAACTATTCAAGGTTTCATTCAATTCCGGGTCGATGAGTTCATCTTCTTTCTGATGTTTCTTATCAAATTTTTGTGTGAGCTGTTTATATCTAGTACTTCTTTTTCTCATTGTATGTTGAAATAGGATATTATTTAAAATAATTACTGTAATATTTTTTATGTTATAATAGATGTAAGAACAAAAAAAAAAAAAAAACCATGGCATTCATATTTAAACCCAAAAACACCAGTTGCATTCATATTCAAACCGTCATGCATATGTTGTTGTGACGTAGTGATACTTGATCACTCACACTGTGTTGTGACGTGCCGGCTGTGACGTAGTGATACTTGATCACTCACACTCTGTTGTGACGTGCCGGTACGTGTGAATGCACATTCACACCGCACCGGCATCACATCACTTGATTGTTTGGCAGGGTTTCTCTTCTACATTTGGGATGTAGGTACAGGCTTCAAGAATCCATGAACGGGTTGAAGACACTGCCGACCACACGGTGACGATAGCGTCTCCAACCTTGACTGGGAAGGAGCTCCAGCCGCAATGGGAGGAAAAGTGATACAAGTTTGTAGGTGCAATGTGGACTTAGTCCAAATAAAAATATCTAATTGTGCACTTTAATGATTGAAAAAATGAATTTTCTGAAAACACAAAAAAAAAACAATATATAGTCAAAGTAGCTGTATTTTCACGTCATTGATGAAAAATTTCTTACCTATGAATTTTAAGAGAAGCCGAAATCTCTAAGAATTAAGAAACAAAAAGACGGGTTAATTGGCGAAGAAACATCAAGAGCTGGGCATAGCGTAGGAACATATTCATCTATTGCTGCCATTGACTTGCCCAGTGACGGAGCCAGGATTTTTTTTTTGAGGGGCCAAAATTGAAATTCCATTTAAAGATGACTAATTCATATATATATATATATATATATATATCAACTCTCATAATATAAACAAAAATTGAAAAAATTTAGGGGGGGCCAATTTTATTTTACACACATATTTACATATTATGAATTAAAATTCTCAAAACTTAGGGGGTCATGGCCCCCCTCTGCCCCCTTGGCTCCGTCATTGGACTTGCCTATCTAAGCTATCAGATAGATGGATGTAAATGCATGCAGCAGCATTCGAGGAGAATTGAGTTAGAAAGTGGAGTGGAAAATTTTCAAACCGCCCAAAAGTACGTATTGTCTTCTGTGAAGAAAAATGATACGTGAACCACTCGTACAACCATTAAAAAACAAAAAATCGAAACACATCGATCGCATTCAGAGTCCAAGACTGATCGGTTTAGTTTGACTTGAAGGAAAACTTACTAGCTCCAAATATACTGAGGGTTACAAGTAAAAGAAGAAGAATTGCCCGAGGAAAAGGATTTATGCTTGTCTCTAAAGTATAACTGTACAAGTAACTAGCAAACGTAGCTAAACAAAGTCGAAACCAATACGTGAATGAAACGGTACAAAAAGCTCTTTTAGCAACTCAATAATTCCCAGATCCTTCCCGGCCCGACTGTTAGTAAACAGAAGAAAGTGCTTCCCGGTGTGAATAATCCGATGAGGTAAATTGGGCGGTGGTGGCAGGAAAAGGACAGGCTCTTGGTGATGCTCAGGCAATCGGTCCAATATTTCAGGGAAATCAAATGTTGCAATTCGCACCCGGCGGTTGACGTGACCGACGACATTGCAGAAAGTGAGAACCCAAATGTAGAAGTCCGAAATGGAAAAAGCAGCTGGACTACATTTAGCGCGAGTTGCCATGGAAAGAACAGATTGTTAGCATGCAATATACTGCTATTTTATTGATCTGGACATAATGCGGAAGGATGCGCACACCTACAAGTTTCAAGTAAATTAGCAATCAATCGCCCCCTGAATTTGTACATTCAAAGGTGATTGGGCCTCAAGCGGCCCAGGCTTTGGTTCTGCTGCGGTAACGGACAACTGTACCTAGACCTTACAAACTAGGCAGGCCCTTCTCAATGCCCAAAGGTCCAATTGGAGCAAAATCAAGGTTGTCAGTACACGACAAGTGTAGAAAGTGGACTACCTATCGTTTAACACTAGAGGCTCAAGAAGAAAAGAAATTAAAAAGGCACTAGTTAGCCTGAGTCCACCAAAGGAAAGGGAACAAGTCTGCGTAAGGTATCATTCATCCCTTGTTTTTTTTTTTTTGTTTGGTAAAAAAAGAGATGAATTTTCCTGTGCTTTTTGCATTTCTATTTCTCTTTTTCCCCTTAGAATTTCAAATTGCAAAACATCAAGTAAAAGCACAAATCAGATTTAGGTCCCATTTGGAGTTGTGGTACTTTTGATAAAAAAATAAAAAATACTTTTAGGTGTTAAAAGTATTTTTAGTGAATATTATTCCGTAAAATTAGGAGTGAAACTTTTGATGTTAAAAGCACTCTTAACAAAAGTTTAAGTTTGATACTTTTAGAATAGCTTTTGTGATTCAAAAAAATAGAACAATTAATGGAATCATTTTATCCTATATTATCAACTAAATAAATAGATAAATATATTTTTAAAAATTTTCAAATTACACATTGTCCAATACAATAAGTACTTATTGAATTATGTATTTAAACAATATATATTTAAAAGCATGTAAGCACATACTAAGCACTTTTATTAAAAGCTCTATTAAAAAAAGAAAAGTACTTTTCAATAAACTAACGCAATTCCAAACCAGCCTTTATTGAGAGAGTTCAAACACGGGAACTCATTTTTGGCCCACCCGTAGTTAAAAACCATCTTAAAAATTTCGTGCAAAGTTCAATCAGCCACAGCCCAAGTCATGTCATTCTTAAGGCAAACCTCAATCTTCCCAGGACCCGAACCCAGAGCAATGAA